ATGGGGAACCTGATGGGGTGGGGAACCTGATGGGGAACCTGATGGGGAACCTGATGGGGAACCTGATGAAGAACCTGATGGGGAAACTGATGGGGAAACTGATCGGGAACCTGATGGGGAACCTGATGGGGAACCTGATGGGGAACCTGATAGGGAACCTGATGGGGAACCTGATGGGGAACCTGATGGGGAACCTGATGGGAAACCTGATGGGGAACCTGATGGGGAACCTGATGGGGAACCTGATGGGGAACCTGATGGGGAAACTGATGGGGAAACTGATGGGGAACCTGATGGGGAACCTGATGGGAACCTGATGGGAAACCTGATGGGGAACCTGTTGGGGAACCTGATGGGGAACCTGATGGGGAACCTGATGGGGAACCTGATGGGGAACCTGATGGGGAACCTGATGGGGAACCTGATGGGGAACCTGATGGGGAGCCTGATGGGGCACCTGATGGGGAACCTGATGGGGAACCTGATGGGGAACCTGATGGGGAACCTGATGGGGAACCTGATGGGGAACCTGATGGGGAACCTGATGGGTTGGGGAACCTGATGGGGTACCTGATGGGGAACCTGATGGGGTGGGGAACCTGATGGGGTGGGGAACCTGATGGGGAACCTGATGGGGTGGGGAACCTGATGGGGAACCTGATGGGGAACCTGATGAAGAACCTGATGGGGAAACTGATGGGGAAACTGATGGGGAACCTGATGGGGAACCTGATGGGGAACCTGATGGGGAACCTGATGGGGAAACTGATGGGGAACCTGATGGGGAACCTGATGGGGAACCTGATGGGGAACCTGATGGGGAACCTGATGGGGAACCTGATGGGGAACCTGATGGGGAACCTGATGGGGAACCTGATGGGGAACCTGACGGGGAACCTTATGGGGAACCTGGTGGGGAACCTGATGGGGTGTGGAACCTGATGGGGTGGGGAACCTGATGGGGTGGGGAACCTGATGGGGAACCTGATGGGGAACTTGATGGGGAACCTGATGGGGAACCTGATGGGGAACCTGATGGGGAACCTGATGGGGAACCTGATGGGGAACCTGATGGGGAACCTGATGGGGAACCTGATGGGGAACCTGATGGGGTGGGGAACCTGATTGGGAACCTGATGGGGTGGGGAAACTGATGGGGAACCTGATGGGGTGGGGAACATGATGGGGAACCTGATGGGGTGGGGAACCTGATGGGGAACCTGATGGGGAACCTGATGAAGAACCTGATGGGGAAACTGATGGGGAAACTGATGGGGAACCTGATGGGGAACCTGATGGGGAACCTAATGGGGAAACTGATGGGGAACCTGATGGAGTGGGGAACCTGATGGGGAACCTGATGGGGAACCTGATGGGGAACCTGATGGGAAACCTGATGGGGTGGGGAACCTGATGGGGAACCTGATGGGGAACCTGATGGGGAACCTGATGGGGAACCTGATGGGGAACCTGATGGGGAACCTGATGGGGGGAACCTGATGGGGAACCTGATGGGGAACCTGATGGGGAACTTGATGGGGAACCTGATGGGGAACCTGATGGGGAACCTGATGGGGAACCTGATGGGAACCTGATGGGGAACCTGATGGGGAACCTGATGGGGAACCTGATGGGGAACCTGTTGGGGAACCTGATGGGGAACCTGATGGGGCACCTGATGGGGAACCTGATGGGGAACCTGATGGGGAAACTGATGGGGAACCTGATGGGGAACCTGATGGGGAACCTGATGGGGAGCCTGATGGGGAACCTGATGGGGTGGGGAACCTGATGGGGAACCTGATGGGGAACCTGATGAAGAACCTGATGGGGAAACTGATGGGGAACCTGATGGGGAACCTGATGGGGAACCTGATGGGAAACCTGATGGGGAACCTGATGGGGTGGGGAACCTGATGGGGAACCTGATGGGAAACCTGATGGGGAACCTGATGGGGAACCTGATGGGGAACCTGATGGGGAACCTGATGGGGAACCTGATGGGGAAAGTGTTGGGGAACCTGATGGGGTGGGGAACCTGATGGGGTGGGGAAACTAATGGGGAACCTGATGGGGTGGGGAAACTAATGGGGAACCTGATGGGGAACCTGATGGGGAACTTGATGAGGAACCTGATGGGGAACCTGATGGGGAACCTGATGGGGAACCTGATGGGGAAACTGATGGGGAACCTGATGGGAACCTGATGGGGAACCTGATGGGGAACCTGATGGGAACCTGATGGGGAACCTGATGGGAACCTGATGGGAAACCTGATGGGGAACCTGATGGGGAACCTGATGGGATAGGGAAACTGATGGGGAACCTGATGGGGTGGGGAACCTGATGGGGTGGGGAACCTGATGGGGAACCTGATGGGGAAAGTGCTGGGGAACCTGATGGGGTGGGGAAACTAATGGGGAACCTGATGGGGTGGGGAAACTAATGGGGAACCTGATGGGGAACCTGATGGGGAACCTGATGGGGAACTTGATGAGGAACCTGATGGGGAACCTGATGGGGAACCTGATGGGGAACCTGATGGGGAAACTGATGGGGAACCTGATGGTAACCTGATGGGGAACCTGATGGGGAACCTGATGGGAACCTGATGGGGAACCTGATGGGAACCTGATGGGAAACCTGATGGGGAACCTGATGGGGAACCTGATGGGGAACCTGATGGGGTGGGGAAACTGATGGGGAACCTGATGGAGTGGGGAACCTGATGGGGTGGGGAACCTGATGGGGAACCTGATGGGGAACCTGATGGGGAACCTGATGGGGTGGGGAAACTGATGGGGAACCTGATGGGGTGGGGAACCTGATGGGGTGGGGAACCTGATGGGGAACCTGATGGGGAACCTGATGGGGAACCTGATGGGGAACCTGATGGGGAACCTGATGGGGAACCTGATGGGGAACCTGTTGGGGAACCTGATGGGGAACCTGATGGGGAACCTGATGGGGAACCTGATGGGGAACCTGATGGGGAACCTGATGGGGTGGGGAACCTGATGGGGTGGGGACCCTGATGGGGAACCTGATGGGGAACCTGATGGGGAACCTGATGGGAAACCTGATGGGGAACCTGATGGGGTGGGGAACCTGATGGGGAACCTGATGGGAAACCTGATGGGGAACCTGATGGGGAACCTGATGGGGAACCTGATGGGGAACCTGATGGGGAACCTGATGGGGAAAGTGTTGGGGAACCTGATGGGGTGGGGAACCTGATGGGGTGGGGAAACTAATGGGGAACCTGATGGGGTGGGGAAACTAATGGGGAACCTGATGGGGAACCTGATGGGGAACTTGATGAGGAACCTGATGGGGAACCTGATGGGGAACCTGATGGGGAACCTGATGGGGAAACTGATGGGGAACCTGATGGGAACCTGATGGGGAACCTGATGGGGAACCTGATGGGAACCTGATGGGGAACCTGATGGGAACCTGATGGGAAACCTGATGGGGAACCTGATGGGGAACCTGATGGGGTGGGGAAACTGATGGGGAACCTGATGGGGTGGGGAACCTGATGGGGAACCTGATGGGGAAAGTGTTGGGGAACCTGATGGGGTGGGGAACCTGAAGGGGTGGGGAAACTAATGGGGAACCTGATGGGGTGGGGAAACTAATGGGGAACCTGATGGGGAACCTGATGGGGAACCTGATGGGGAACTTGATGAGGAACCTGATGGGGAACCTGATGGGGAACCTGATGGGGAACCTGATGGGGAAACTGATGGGGAACCTGATGGTAACCTGATGGGGAACCTGATGGGGAACCTGATGGGAACCTGATGGGTAACCTGATGGGAACCTGATGGGAAACCTGATGGGGAACCTGATGGGGAACCTGATGGGGTGGGGAAACTGATGGGGAACCTGATGGGGTGGGGAACCTGATGGGGTGGGGAACCTGATAGGGTGGGGAACCTGATGGGGAACCTGATGGGGAACGAACCTGATGGGAACCTGATGGGGAACCTGATGGGGAACCTGTTGGGGAACCTGATGGGGTGGGGAACCTGATGGGGAACCTGATGGGGAACCTCATGGGGAACCTGATGGGGAACCTGTTGGGGAACCTGATGGGGTGGGGAACCTGATGGGGAACCTGATGGGGTGGGGAACCTGATGGGGAACCTGATGGGGAACCTGATGGGGAACCTGATGGGGAAACTGATGGGGAAACTGATGGGGAACCTGATGGGGAACCTGATGGGGAACCTGATGGGGGGAACCTGATGGGGGGAACCTGATGGGGGGAACCTGATGGGGGGAACCTGATGGGGGGAACCTGATGGGGGGAACCTGATGGGGGGAACCTGATGGGGGGAACCTGATGGCCGTTACCATTACACACCCCCGCTACCATTACGCACCCCCGTTACCATTACACACGCACCCACGTTACCATTACGCACCCCCGTTACCATTACGCACCCCCATTACCATTACGCACCTCCGTTACCATTACGCACCCCTGCTACCATTACGCACCACTGTTACCATTACGCACCCCCGCTACCATTACGCACCCCCGCTACCATTACGCACCCCCGCTACCATTACGCACCCACGTTACCATTACGCACCCCCGTTACCATTACACACCCCCGTTACCATTACGCACCTCCGTTACCATTACGCACCTCCGTTACCATTACGCACCCCCGTTACCATTACGCACCTCCGTTACCATTACGCACCCCCGTTACCATTACGCACCTCCGTTACCATTACGCACCTCCGTTACCATTACGCACCCCCGATGTCAGGATGTTCATTGGAATTGACATGTCTCGCCTCATGTCCTGACCAGCAGTATGTCCCACACCCTGCTTTACCTTCTCCCATGCTCTCACTCACCAGCTTCGTAAGTTCGTACAGCAGGTTGAAAGGAATCTCCATGTCGCACCCCACGTCCTTCACAGTACATCAACGCATCCAACCATTCACACTTGCACCCCCTCTCATTATCCTCCTCTCACCAGCTTCGTAAGCTCGTTCATGATGTTTAAAGGAATCTGCATGTCGCGCCCCACGTCCTTGAGCACAGCACGCGACCCCATGCGGTTGAAGGTTGCAATCTGTGCCACCCTGTGAGCGCCGTACTTCTCTGCAATGTATGCCAGGATCTGACGGGGAGAAGCACGAGTGGGGACGGGTGGGGCAGAGAGGGTGCGTTGCGGGGCGGTAGAGAGGGGTGAGGCGGTAAGAGACGGAAAGGGTGCATATTCTGTGATGTGATTGCATGCAGGGAAGGAGAGCGCTTCGTTAAGAGCGAGCTTAGAGACAGAGGGTGCAGTGAGAGACGGAGGGGGTGCATATTCTGTGATGTGATTGCATGCAGGGAAGGGGCAATGAACGAATTGATTGTTGGTCCTGCAGGTACCAGCAGGTACCAGCAGTAACCATATTCTTCTGCCCAATCCTGTAACTTCTCGTGATCTTTTCCACTCACCGCATTGCGGCAGGCACCGCATACCACCGCAACGCACCCACCTTATCCCGCCCGAGAGGGCAAAAGTCGGAGTCAATATCGGGAGGAGCCAGCCTTTCTTCGTTCAGAAAGCGCTCGAAGTACAGCCCTGTGGGAAAAACAAAGTGTGTTTGCGGAATGGGAGTGGAGTGGGGGGGAAGGACGTTGGGCGACACGGAAACTGAGGGGTTGTGTCGAGGAGCCAGCCTAGGTTCAGAAAGCGCTCACAGTACAGCCCTGTGGGGAAGAGCAGTGCATTCGCGGAATGAGTGATGGAGGGGAAGGAAGGGAGGGGTGCCGCGGAAAGCAGAGAAAGGGGGGATTTTATAAAATTCCAGCCTTTCCACCCGGACCAAAAAAAAAAGAAAGAACATAAAAAAAAACCCTGAGGAACAAAATGGTAGCTGGAATGAGGGTAATATGATACAAGAGTTAGGGTTATAACAACCATATTTTGACTAATATCCTTTAGGGGCACGCGTGGACCAAGGGGCGCGCGTGGACCAAGGCGCGCGCGCGGAACAAGGCGCGCGCGCCCGGACCAAGGCGCGCGCGCCCGGACCAAGGCGCGCGCCCGGACCAAGGCGCGCACGCGGACAAAGGCGCGCGCGCGGACCAAGGCACGCGCGCGGACCAAGGCGAGCGCGCGGCGCAGACCAAGGCGCGCGCGCGGACCAAGGCGCGAGCGCAGACCAAGGCGCGAGCGCGGACCAAGGCGCGCGCGCGGACCAAGGTGCGCGCCTGGACCAAGGCGCGCCCGGACCAAGGCGCGCGCCCGGACCAAGGCGCGCGCCCGGACCAAGGCGCGGGCCCGGACCAAGGCGCGCGCGCCCGGACCGAGGCGCGCGCCCGGACCAAGGCGCGCGCCCGGACCAACGCGCGCGCCCGGACCAACGCGCGCGCCCGGACCAAGACGCGACGCCCGGACCAAGGCGAGCGCCCGGCGCGCGGACCAAGGCGCGCACCCGGACCAAGGCGCGCGCCCGGACCAAGGCGCGCGCGCGGACCAAGGCGCGCGCGCGGACCAACGCGCGCGCGCACACCAAGGCGCGCGCGCGGACCAAGGCGCGCGCCCGGACCAAGGCGCGCGCGCCCGGACCAAGGCGCGCGCGCCCGGACCAAGGCGCGCGCGCCCGGACCAAGGCGCGCGCCCGGACCAAGGCGCGCGCACCCGGACCAAGGCGCACGCCCGGACCAAGGCGCGCACCCGGACCAAGGCGCGCGCGCTGACCAAGGCGCGCGCCCGGACCAAGGCGCGCGCCCGGACCAAGGCGCGCGCGCCCAGACCAAGGCGCGCGAGCGCGGACCAAGGCGCGCGCGCCCGGACCAAGGCGCGCGCGCCCGGACCAAGGGGCGCGCGCCCGGACCAAGGCGCGCGCGCGGACCAAGGCGCGCGCGCGGACCAAGGCGCGCGCGCGGACCAATACGCGCGCGCGGACCAAGGCGCGCGCCCGGACCAAGGCGCGCGCCCGGACCAAGGCGCGCGCCCGGACCAAGGCGCGCGCCCCGACCAAGGCGCGCGCCCGGACCAAGGCGCGCGCCCGGACCAAGGCGCGCGCGCGGACCAAGGCGCGCGCGCGGACCAAGGCGCGCGCGCGGACCAAGGCGCGCGCCCGGACCAAGGCGCGCGCGCCCGGACCAAGGGGCGCGCCCGGACCAAGGCGCGCGCAGCCCGGACCAAGGGGCGCGCGCGGACCAAGGCGCGCGCCCGGACCAAGGCGCGCGCGCGGACCAAGGCGCGCTGCAGCGGACCAAGGCGCGCGCGCGGACCAATACGCGCGCGCGGACCAAGGCGCGCGCCCGGACCAAGGCGCGCGCCCGGACCAAGGCGCGCGCCCGGACCAAGGCGCGCGCCCCGACCAAGGCGCGCGCCCGGACCAAGGCGCGCGCCCGGACCAAGGCGCGCGCGCGCGGACCAAGGCGCGCGCGCGGACCAAGGCACGCGCGCGGACCAAGGCGCGCGCGCGGACCAAGGCGCGCGCGCGGACCAATACGCGCGCGCGGACCAAGGCGCGCGCCCGGACCAAGGCGCGCGCCCGGACCAAGGCGCGCGCCCCGACCAAGGCGCGCGCCCGGACCAAGGCGCGCGCCCGGACCAAGGCGCGCGCGCCCGGACCAATGCGCGCGCCCCGACCAAGGCGCGCGCCCGGACCAAGGCGCGCGCGCCCGGACCAAGGGGCGCGCGCCCGGACCAAGGCGCGCGCGCGGACCAAGGCGCGCGCGCGGACCAATACGCGCGCGCGGACCAAGGCGCGCGCCCGGACCAAGGCGCGCGCCCGGACCAAGGCGCGCGCCCGGACCAAGGCGCGCGCCCCGACCAAGGCGCGCGCCCGGACCAAGGCGCGCGCCCGGACCAAGGCGCGCGCGCGGACCAAGGCGCGCGCCCGGACCAAGGCGCAGGCGCGCGCGCCCGGACCAAGGCGCGTGCGCCCGGACCAAGGCGCGCGCCCGGACCAAGGCGCGCGCGCGGACCAAGGCGCGCGCCCGGACCAAGGCCGCGCGCGGACCAAGGCGCGCGCGCGGACCAAGGCGCGCGCCCGGACCAAGGCGCGCGCGCTAACCAAGGCGCGCGCGCGGACCAAGGCGCGCGCCCGGACCAAGGCGCGCCGACCAAGGCGCGCGCGCGCGGACCAAGGCGCGCTCCCCCGGACCAAGGCGCGCGCCTGGACCAAGGCGCGCGCCCGGACCAAGGCGCGGCGCCCGGACCAAGGCGCGCGCCCGGACCAAGGCGCGCGCCCGGACCAAGGCGCGCGCGCGGACCAAGGCGCGCGCGCGGACCAAGGCGCGCGCCCGGACCAAGGCGCGCGCCCGGACCAAGGCGCGCGCGCGGACCAAGGCGCGCGCCCGGACCAAGGCGCGCGCCCGGACCAAGGCGCGCGCCCGGACCAAGGCGCGCGCCCGGACCAAGGCGCGCGCGTCCGGACTAAGGTGCGCGCGCGCGGACCAAGGCGCGCGCGCCCGGATCAAGGGGCGCGCGCCCGGACCAAGGCGCGCGCGCCCGGACCAAGGCGCGCGCGCCCGGACCAAGGCGCGCGCGCCCGGACCAAGGCGCGCGCCCGGACCAAGGCGCGCGCGCGGACCAAGGCGCGCGCGCGGACCAAGGCGCGCGCGCGGACCAATACGCGCGCGCGGGACCAAGGCGCCGCGCGCGGACCAAGGCGCGCGCCCGGACCAAGGCGCGCGCCCGGACCAAGGCGCGCGCCCCGATCAAGGCGCGCGCCCGGACCAAGGCGCGCGCCCGGACCAAGGCGCGCGCGCGGACCAAGGCGCGCGCGCGGACCAAGGCGCGCGCGCGGACCAAGGCGCGCGCCCGGACCAAGGCGCGCGCGCCCGGACCAAGGCGCGCGCCCCGACCAAGGCGCGCGCCCGGACCAAGGCGCGCGCGCCCGGACCAAGGGGCGCGCGCCCGGACCAAGGCGCGCGCGCGGACCAATACGCGCGCGCGGACCAAGGCGCGCGCCCGGACCAAGGCGCGCGCCCGGACCAAGGCGCGCGCCCGGACCAAGGCGCGCGCCCCGACCAAGGCGCGCGCCCGGACCAAGGCGCGCGCCCGGACCAAGGCGCGCGCGCGGACCAAGGCGCGCGCGCGGACCAAGGCGCGCGCCCGGACCAAGGCGCGCGCGCTAACCAAGGCGCGCGCGCGGACCAAGGCGCGCGCCCGGACCAAGGCGCGCCGACCAAGGCGCGCGCGCGCGGACCAAGGCGCGCGCGCGGACCAAGGCGCGCGCCCCCGGACCAAGGCGCGCGCCTGGACCAAGGCGCGCGCCCGGACCAAGGCGCGCGCCCGGACCAAGGCGCGCGCCCGGACCAAGGCGCGCGCCCGGACCAAGGCGTGCGCGCGGACCAAGGCGCGCGCGCGGACCAAGGCGCGCGCCCGGACCAAGGCGCGCGCCCGGACCAAGGCGCCTGCGCGCGGCGACCAAGGCGCGCGCCCGGACCAAGGCGCGCGCCCGGACCAAGGCGCGCCGCCTGACCAAGGCGCGCGCCCGGACCAAGGGCGCGCGTCCGGACTAAGGTGCGCGCGCGCGGACCAAGGCGCGCGCGCCCGGATCAAGGGGCGCGCGCCCGGACCAAGGCGCGCGCGCCCGGACCAAGGCGCGCGCGCCCGGACCAAGGCGCGCGCGCCCGGACCAAGGCGCGCGCCCGGACCAAGGCGCGCGCCGCGGACCAAGGCGCGCGCGCGGACCAAGGCGCGCGCGCGGACCAATACGCGCGCGCGGACCAAGGCGCTGCGCGCGGACCAAGGCGCGCGCCCGGACCAAGGCGCGCGCCCGGACCAAGGCGCGCGCCCCGACCAAGGCGCGCGCCCGGACCAAGGCGCGCGCCCGGACCAAGGCGCGCTGCGCGGACCAAGGCGCGCGCGCGGACCAAGGCGCGCGCGCGGACCAAGGCGCGCGCCCGGACCAAGGCTGCGCGCGCCCGGACCAAGGCGCGCGCCCCGACCAAGGCGCGCGCCCGGACCAAGGCGCGCGCGCCCGGACCAAGGGGCGCGCGCCCGGACCAAGGCGCGCGCGCGGACCAATACGCGCGCGCGGACCAAGGCGCGCGCCCGGACCAAGGCGCGCGCCCGGACCAAGGCGCGCGCCCGGACCAAGGCGCGCGCCCCGACCAAGGCGCGCGCCCGGACCAAGGCGCGCGCCCGGACCAAGGCGCGCGCGCGGACCAAGGCGCGCGCGCGGACCAAGGCGCGCGCCCGGACCAAGGCGCGCGCGCTAACCAAGGCGCGCGCGCGGACCAAGGCGCGCGCGCGGACCAAGGCGCGCGCCCGGACCAAGGCGCGCCGACCAAGGCGCGCGCGCGCGGACCAAGGCGCGCGCGCGGACCAAGGCGCGCGCCCCCGGACCAAGGCGCGCGCCTGGACCAAGGCGCGCGCCCGGACCAAGGCGCGCGCCCGGACCAAGGCGCGCGCCCGGACCAAGGCGCGCGCCCGGACCAAGGCGTGCGCGCGGACCAAGGCGCGCGCGCGCGGACCAAGGCGCGCGCGCGGACCAAGGCGCGCGCCCGGACCAAGGCGCGCGCGCGGACCAAGGCGCGCGCCCGGACCAAGGCGCGCGCCCGGACCAAGGCGCGCGCCCGGACCAAGGCGCGCGCCCGGACCAAGGCGCGCGCGTCCGGACTAAGGTGCGCGCGCGCGGACCAAGGCGCGCGCGCCCGGATCAAGGGGCGTGCGCCCGGACCAAGGCGCGCGCGCCCGGACCAAGGCGCGCGCGCCCGGACCAAGGCGCGCGCGCCCGGACCAAGGCGCGCGCCCGGACCAAGGCGCGCGCGCTGACCAAGAAGCGCGCCCGGACCAAGGCGCGCGCCCGGACCAAGGCGCGCGCCCGGACCAAGGCGCGCGCGCGGACCAAGGCGCGCGCCCGGACCAAGGCGCGCGCGCGGACCAAGGCGCGCGCCCGGACCAAGGCGCGCGCCCGGACCAAGGCGCGCGCCCGGACCAAGGCGCGCGCCCGGACCAAGGCGCGCGCGTCCGGACCAAGGTGCGCGCGCGCGGACCAAGGCGCGCGCGCCCGGATCAAGGGGCGCGCGCCCGGACCAAGGCGCGCGCGCTCGGACCAAGGCGCGTGCGCGGACCAAGGCGAGCGCGCGGACCAATGCGCGCGCCCGGACCAAGGTGCGCGCGCCCGGACCAAGGCGCGCGCCCGGACCAAGGCGCGCGCGCGCGGACCAAGGCGCGCGCGGCCGGACCAAGGCGCGCGCGCCCGGACCAAGGCGCGCGCGCCCGGACCAAGGCGCGCGCGCCCGGACCAAGACGCGCGCCCGGACCAAGGCGCGCGCGCCCGGACCAAGACGCGCGCCCGGACCAAGGCGCGCGCGCGGACCAAGGCGCGCGCGCAAACCAAGGCGCGCACGCGGACCAAGGCGCGCGCCCGGACCAAGGCGCGCGCGCCCAGACCAAGGCGCGCGCGCCCGGACCAAGGCGCGCCCCCGGACCAAGGCGCGCGCGCGGACCAAGGCGCGCGCGCGGACCAAGGCGCGCGCCCGGACCAAGGCGCAGGCGCGCGCGCCCGGACCAAGGCGCGTGCGCCCGGACCAAGGCGCGCGCCCGGACCAAGGCGCGCGCGCGGACCAAGGCGCGCGCCCGGACCAAGGCGCGCGCCCGGACCAAGGCGCGCGCGCGGACCAAGGCGCGCGCGCGGACCAAGGCTGCGCGCCCGGACCAAGGCGCGCAGCGCTAACCAAGGCGCGCGCGCGGACCAAGGCGCGCGCCCGGACCAAGGCGCGCCGACCAAGGCGCGCGCGCGCGGACCAAGGCGCGCGCCCCCGGACCAAGGCGCGCGCCTGGACCAAGGCGCGCGCCCGGACCAAGGCGCGCGCCCGGACCAAGGCGCGCGCCCGGACCAAGGCGCGCGCCCGGACCAAGGCGTGCGCGCGGACCAAGGCGCGCGCGCGGACCAAGGCGCGCGCCCGGACCAAGGCGCGCGCCCGGACCAAGGCGCGCGCGCGGACCAAGGCGCGCGCCCGGACCAAGGCGCGCGCCCGGACCAAGGCGCGCGCCCGGACCAAGGCGCGCGCCCGGACCAAGGCGCGCGCGTCCGGACTAAGGTGCGCGCGCGCGGACCAAGGCGCGCGCGCCCGGATCAAGGGGCGCGCGCGCGGACCAAGGCGCGCGCGCCCGGACCAAGGCGCGCGCGCCCGGACCAAGGCGCGCGCGCCCGGACCAAGGCGCGCGCCCGGACCAAGGCTGCGCGCAGCGGACCAAGGCGCGCGCGCGCGGACCAAGGCGCGCGCGCGGACCAATACGCGCGCGCGGACCAAGGCGCGCGCCCGGACCAAGGCGCGCGCCCGGACCAAGGCGCGCGCCCGGACCAAGGCGCGCGCCCCGACCAAGGCGCGCGCCCGGACCAAGGCGCGCGCCCGGACCAAGGCGCGCGCGCGGACCAAGGCGCGCGCGCGGACCAAGGCGCGCGCGGCGGACCAAGGCGCGCGCCCGGACCAAGGCGCGCGCGCCCGGACCAAGGCGCGCGCCCCGACCAAGGCGCGCGCCCGGACCAAGGCGCGCGCGCCCGGACCAAGGGGCGCGCGCCCGGACCAAGGCGCGCGCGCGCGGACCAATACGCGCGCGCGGACCAAGGCGCTCGCCCGGACCAAGGCGCGCGCCCGGACCAAGGCGCGCGCCCGGACCAAGGCGCGCGCCCCGACCAAGGCGCGCGCCCGGACCAAGGCGCGCGCCCGGACCAGGGCGCGCGCGCGGACCAAGGCGCGCGCGCGGACCAAGGCGCGCGCGCGGACCAAGGCGCGCGCCCGGACCAAGGCGCGCGCGCCCGGACCAAGGCGCGCGCCCCGACCAAGGCGCGCGCCCGGACCAAGGCGCGCGCGCCCGGACCAAGGGGCGCGCGCCCGGACCAAGGCGCGCGCGCGGACCAATACGCGCGCGCGGACCAAGGCGCGCGCCCGGACCAAGGCGCGCGCCCGGACCAAGGCGCGCGCCCGGACCAAGGCGCGCGCCCCGACCAAGGCGCGCGCCCGGACCAAGGCGCGCGCCCGGACCAAGGCGCGCGCGCGGACCAAGGCGCGCGCGCGGACCAGGGCGCGCGCGCGGACCAAGGCGCGCGCCCGGACCAAGGCGCAGGCGCGCGCGCCCGGACCAAGGCGCGTGCGCCCGGACCAAGGCGCGCGCCCGGACCAAGGCGCGCGCGCGGACCAAGGCGCGCGCCCGGACCAAGGCGCGCGCCCGGACCAAGGCGCGCGGCGGCGGACCAAGGCGCGCGCAGCGGACCAAGGCCGCGCGCGCGGACCAAGGCGCGCGCCCGGACCAAGGCGCTGCGCGCGGACCAAGGCGCGCGCGCGGACCAAGGCGCGCGCGCGGACCAAGGCGCGCGCCCGGACCAAGGCGCGCCGACCAAGGCGCGCTGCGGCGCGGACCAAGGCCGCGCGCGCGGACCAAGGCGCGCGCCCCCGGACCAAGGCGCGCGCCTGGACCAAGGCGCGCGCCCGGACCAAGGCGCGCGCGACCGGACCAAGGCGCGCGCCCGGACCGGTACCAAGGCGTGCGCGCGGACCAAGGCGCGCGCGCGGACCAAGGCGCGCGCCCGGACCAAGGCGCGCGCCCGGACCAAGGCGCGCGCAGCGGACCAAGGCGCGCGCCCGGACCAAGGCGCGCGCCCGGACCAAGGCGCGCGCCCGGACCAAGGCGCGCGCCCGGACCAAGGCGCGCGCCCGGACCAAGGCGCGCGCGTCCGGACTAAGGTGCGCGCGCGCGGACCAAGGCGCGCGCGCCCGGATCAAGGGGCGCGCGCCCGGACCAAGGCGCGCGCGCCCGGACCAAGGCGCGCGCGCCCGGACCAAGGCGCGCGCGCCCGGACCAAGGCGCGCGCCCGGACCAAGGCGCGCGCGCTGACCAAGAAGCGCGCCCGGACCAAGGCGCGCGCCCCGGGACCAAGGCGCGGGCGCCCGGACCAAGGCGCGCGCGCGGACCAAGGCGCGCGCCCGGACCAAGGCGCCGCGCGCGGACCAAGGCGCGCGCCCGGACCAAGGCGCGCGCCCGGACCAAGGCGCGGCGCCCGGACCAAGGCGCGCGCCCGGACCAAGGCGCGCTCGTCCGGACCAAGGTGCGCGCGCGCGGGACCAAGGCGCGCGCGCCCGGATCAAGGGGCGCGCGCCCGGACCAAGGCGCGCGCGGCTCGGACCAAGGCGCGTGCGCGGACCAAGGCGAGCGCGCGGACCAATGCGCGCGCCCGGACCAAGGTGCGCGCGCCCGGACCAAGGCGCGCGCCCGGACCAAGGCGCGCGCGCGCGGACCAAGGCGCGCGCGGGCCGGACCAAGGCGCGCGCGCCCGGACCAAGGCGCGCGCGCCCGGACCAAGGCGCGCGCGCCCGGACCAAGACGCGCGCCCGGACCAAGGCGCGCGCGCCCGGACCAAGACGCGCGCCCGGACCAAGGCTGCGCGCGCGGACCAAGGCGCGCGCGCAAACCAAGGCGCGCGCGCGGACCAAGGCGCGCGCCCGGACAGGGCGCGCGCGCCCGGACCAAGGCGCGCGCGCCCAGACCAAGGCGCGCGCGCCCGGACCAAGGCGCGCCCCCGGACCAAGGCTCGCGCGCGGACCAAGGCGCGCGCGCGGACCAAGGCGCGCGCCCGGACCAAGGCGCGCGCCCGGACCAAGGCGCGCGCCCGGACCAAGGCGCGCGCCCGGACCAAGGCGCGCGCGTCCGGACCAAGGTGCGCGCGCGCGGACCAAGGCGCGCGCGCCCGGATCAAGGGGCGCGCGCCCGGACCAAGGCGCGCGCGCTCGGACCAAGGCGCGTGCGCGGACCAAGGCGAGCGCGCGGACCAATGCGCGCGCCCGGACCAAGGTGCGCGCGCCCGGACCAAGGCGCGCGCCCGGACCAAGGCGCGCGCGCGCGGACCAAGGCGCGCGCGGCCGGACCAAGGCGCGCGCGCCCGGACCAAGGCGCGCGCGCCCGGACCAAGGCGCGCGCGCCCGGACCAAGACGCGCGCCCGGACCAAGGCGCGCGCGCCCGGACCAAGACGCGCGCCCGGACCAAGGCGCGCGCGCGGACCAAGGCGCGCGCGCAAACCAAGGGCGCGCGCGCGGACCAAGGCGCGCGCCCGGACAGGGCGCGCGCAGCCCGGACCAAGGCGCGCGCGCCCAGACCAAGGCGCCGCGCGCCCGGACCAAGGCGCGCCCCCGGACCAAGGCGCGCGCGCGGACCAAGGCGCGCGCCCGGACCAAGGCGCGCGCCCGGACCAAGGCGCGCGCCCGGACCAAGGCTCCCGCGTCCGGACCAAGGTGCGCGCGCGCGGACCAAGGCGCGCGCGCCCGGATCAAGGGGCGCGCGCCCGGACCAAGGCGCGCGCCCGGACCAAGGCGCGCGCCCGGACCAAGGCCCGCGCCCGGACCAAGGCGCGCGCCCGGACCAAGGCGCGCGCGCCCGGACCAAGGCGCGCGCGCGCCCGGACTAAGGCGCGCGCGCGGACCAAGGCGCACGCCTGGACCAAGGCGCGTCCGGACCAAGGCGCGCGCCCGGACCAAGGCGCGCGCCCCCGGACCAAGGCGCGCGCCCGGACCAAGGCGCGCGCCCGGACCAAGGCGCGCGCGCGGACCAAGGCGCGCGCCCGGACCAAGGCGTGCGCGCGGACCAAGGCGCGCGCCCGGACCAAGGCGCGCGCCCGGACCAAGGCGCGCGCCCGGACCAAGGCGCGCGCGCGGACCAAGGCGCGCGCCCGGACCAAGGCGCGCGCCCGGACCAAGGCGCGCGCGCCCGGACCAAGGCGCGCGCGCGCGGACCAAGGCGCGCGTGCCCGGATCAAGGGGCGCGCGCCCGGACCAAGGCGCGCGCGCCCGGACTAAGGCGCGCGCGCGGACCAAGGCGCGCGCCCGGACCAAGGCGCGCGCCCGGACCAAGGCGCGCGCCGGGACCAAGGCGCGCGCGCGCCCGGACCAAGGCGCGCGCGCCCGGACCAAGGCGCGCGCGCGGACCAAGGCGCGCGCTTGGACCAAGGCGCGCCCGAACCAAGGCGCGCGCCCGGACCAAGGCGCGCGCCCGGACCAAGGCGCGCGCCCGGACCAAGGCGCGCGCCCGGACCAACGCGTGCGCCCGGACCAACGCGCGCGCCCAGACCAAGACGCGACGCCCGGACCAAGGCGAGCGCCCCGGCGCGCGGACCAAGGCGCGCGCCCGGACCAAGGCGCGCGCGCGGACCAAGGCGCGCGCGCAGACCAAGGCGCGCGCGCGGACCAAGGCGCGGACGCGGACCAAGGCGCGCGCCCGGACCAAGGCGCGCGCGCCCGGACCAAGGCGCGCGCGCCCGGACCAAGGCGCGCGCCCGGACCAACGCGCGCGCCCGGACCAACGCGCGCGCCCGGACCAACGCGCGCGCCCGGACCAACGCGCGCGCCCGGACCAAGGCGCGCGCCCGGACCAAGGCGCGCGCCCCCGGACCAAGGCGCGCGCCCGGACCAAGGCGCGCGCGCCCGGACCGAGGCGCGCGCCCGGACCAAGGCGCGCGCCCGGACCAACGCGCGCACCCGGACCAACGCGCGCGCCCGGACCAAGACGCGACGCCCGGACCAAGGCGAGCGCCCGGCGCGCGGACGAAGGTGCGCGCCCGGACCAAGGCGCGCGCGCAGACCAAGGCGCGCGCGCGGACCAAGGCGCGGACGCGGACCAAGGCGCGCGCCCGGACCAAGGCGCGCACCCGGACCAAGGCGCGCGCCCCCGGACCAAGGCGCTCACCCGGACCAAGGCGCGCGCGCCCGGACCAAGGCGCGCGCGCCCGGACCAAGGCGCGCGCGCCCGGACAAAGGTGCGCACGCCCGGACCAAGGGGCGCGCGCCCGGACCAAGGGGCGCGCGCCCGGACCAAGGCGTGCGCGCCCCGGACCAAGGCGCACGCCCGGACCAAGGCGCGCGCCCGGACCAAGGCGCGCGCGCGGACCAAGGCGCGCGCCCGGACCAAGGTGCGCGCGCTGACCAAGGCGCGCGCCCGGACCAAGGCGCGCGCCCGGACCAAGGCGCGCCGACGAAGGCGCGCGCGCGCGGACCAAGGCGCGCGCGCGGACCAAGGCGCGCGCCCCCGGACCAAGGCGCGCGCCCCCGGACCAAGGCGCGCGCCTGGACCAAGGCGCGCGCCCGGACCAAGGCGCGCGCCCGGACCAAGGCGCGCGCCCGGACCAAGGCGCGCGCCCGGACCAAGGCGCGCGCCCGGACCAAGGCGTGCGCGCGGACCAAGGCGCGCGCGCGGACCAAGGCGCGCGCCCGGACCAAGGCGCGCGCCCGGACCAAGGCGCGCGCGCGGACCAAGGCGCGCGCCCGGACCAAGGCGCGCGCCCGGACCAAGGCGCGCGCCCGGACCAAGGCGCGCGCCCGGACCAAGGCGCGCGCCCGGACCAAGGCGCGCGCGTCCGGACTAAAGTGCGCGCGCGCAGACCAAGGCGCGCGCGCCCGGATCAAGGGGCGCGCGCGCCCGGACCAAGGCGCGCGCGCCCGGACCAAGGCGCGCGCGCCGGACCAAGGCGCGCGCGCCCGGACCAAGGCGCGCGCGCCCGGACCAAGGCGCGCGCCCGGACCAAGGCGCGCGCGCTGACCAAGAAGCGCGCCCGGACCAAGGCGCGCGCCCGGACCAAGGCGCGCGCCCAGACCAAGGCGCGCGCGCGGACCAAGGCGCGCGCGCGGACCAAGGCGCGCGCGCGGACCAAGGCGCGCGCCCGGACCAAGGCGCGCGCGCGCGGACCAAGGCGCGCGCCCGGACCAAGGCGCGCGCCCGGACCAAGGCGCGCGCCCGGACCAAGGCGCGCGCGTCGGACCAAGGTGCGCGTGCGCGGACCAAGGCGCGCGCGCCCGGATCAAGGGGCGCGCGCCCGGACCAAGGCGCGCGCGCTCTGACCAAGGCGCGTGCGCGGACCAAGGCGAGCGCGCGGACCAATGCGCGCGCCCGGACCAAGGTGCGCGCGCCCGGACCAAGGCGCGCGCCCGGACCAAGGCGCGCGCGCGCGGACCGAGGCGCGCGCGGCCGGACCAAGGCGCGCGCGCCCGGACCAAGGCGCGCGCGCCCGGACCAAGACGCGCGCCCGGACCAAGGCGCGCGCGCGCCCGGACCAAGACGCGCGCCCGGACCAAGGCGCGCGCGCAAACCAAGGCGCGCGCGGCGGACCAAGGCGCGCGCGCGGACCAAGGCGCGCGCCCGGACCAAGGCGCGCGCGCGCCGGACCAAGGGGCGCGCCCGGACCAAGGCGCGCGCGCCCGGACCAAGGGGCGCGCGCGGACCAAGGCGCGCGCCCGGACCAAGGCGGCGACGAGGCCGTGGGCGCGCGGACCAAGGCGCGCGCGCGGACCAAGGCGCGCGCGCGGACCAAGGCGCGCGCCGGACCAAGGCGCGCGCGCCCGGACCAAGGGGCGCGCCCGGACCAAGGCGCGCGCGCCCGGACCAAGGGGCGCGCGCGGACCAAGGCGCGCGCGCGGACCAAGGCGCGCGCGGACCAAGGCGCGCGCGCTGACCAAGAAGCGCGCCCGGACCAAGGCGCGCGCCCGGACCAAGGCGCGCGCCCAGACCAAGGCGCGCGCGCGCGGACCAAGGCGCGCGCGCGGACCAAGGCGCGCGCGCGGACCAAGGCGCGCGCCCGGACCAAGGCGCGCGCGCGGACCAAGGCGCGCGCCCGGACCAAGGCGCGCGCCCGGACCAAGGCGCGCGCCCGGACCAAGGCGCGCGCGTCCGGACCAAGGTGCGCGTGCGCGGACCAAGGCGCGCGCGCCCGGATCAAGGGGCGCGCGCCGGACCAAGGCGCGCGCGCTCTGACCAAGGCGCGTGCGCGGACCAAGGCGAGCGCGCGGACCAATGCGCGCGCCCGGACCAAGGTGCGCGCGCCCGGACCAAGGCGCGCGCCCGGACCAAGGCGCGCGCGCGCGGACCGAGGCGCGCGCGGCCGGACCAAGGCGCGCGCGCCCGGACCAAGGCGCGCGCGCCCGGACCAAGACGCGCGCCCGGACCAAGGCGCGCGCGCCCGGACCAAGACGCGCGCCCGGACCAAGG